AAGGGAGCTGAGTTGCCATCCCAGCGGGCCTGGAAGGTAGAGCTGAAGCCTAAGGCTGAGGGACCTGCACTCAGAATCCAGAGAATGTGGCCAACATCTGAAGTCTGGAGGACAGGGCCATTGCCTAGATGGTCTCAGAGAACAGAGGATTATTTTCAAGACTTGAGAGCTAATGAAATTGTTCTGCTGGGTTTTGGACTTGCTTGGTACCTGTTATTCCTTCTTTCCCTCCAATTTCTCCCATTTGTTATGGAAATGTATATCTTGTTTCACCACTGTATTTTGGAAGCAGATAAACTATGTCTTAGTTATCTGGTGCTGCTATAACAGAAATACCACAAGTGAATGGCTTTAACAAAGAGAAATTTATTCTCTCATAGTCTAGGAGGCTAAAAGTCTGAACTCAGGGTGCCAGCTCCAGGGGAAGGCCTTCTCTCTCTGTCGGCCCTGGAGGAAGGTCCTTGTCATCAATCTTCCCCAGTTGAGGAGCTTCTCGGTGCAGGGACTCCAGGTCCAAAGGACGTGCTATTCTTCTGGCTCTTGTTTCTTGGTGGTATGAGGTCCCCATGTCTCTCTGCTCATTTCTCTCTTTTATATCTCAAAAGAGATTGACTAAAACACAACCTAATCTTGTAGATTGAGTCCTTCCTCATTAACATAACTGACACCTAATCCCACCTAATTAACATCATAGAGGTAAGATTTACAACACATAGGAAAATCATATCAGATGACAAAATGGACAATCACACAATACTGGGAATCATGGACTAGACAATTTGACACACAAATTTTCTGGGAGACACAATTCAATCCATAACAATCTGTATTCTAGATTTCACAGATTCTCAGATGAAGAGGAATTTTGCCAGAGCATGGGACATGCCTAATGTCTCAACCATATTTGATTTAGAAACTCAGAAGATGAGATTTTGGACTTGGAGTTGATTTAAGACTTCTGGGATGATGGGATGGGGTGAATGTGTTTTGCATGTGGCAAGGTCCTGAATTTTGGGGGGCCAAAGGGTAGAATGTTGTGTATTGAATTGTGTCCCCCAAAAATATGTGTTGTAAATCCTAACCCATATGCCTGTGGTTATACTCCCATTTGGGAATGAGTTGTCTTTGTTACGTTAATGAGACAGGATTAATGTAGGGTATGTCTTAAATCTTTTACAGTTATAAAATAGATTAAACAAACAAGCAAAAGAAGCGGAGATGAGGGAAGAGAGATGTTAACACACATGAAAATCGCCCAGGAGCAAAAACTCAAAAGAGACAAGGACCTGCCTCCAGAGCTGACAGAGAAAGGAAGGCTTCCCCTTGAGCCAGCACCCAGATTTCAGATGTCTAGCCTCCTAAACTGTAAGAAAATAAATTTTTGTTTGTTAAAGCCATCCAGTTGTGGTATTTCTGTTATAGCAGCACTAGATAACGAAGACAGATGCCTTTGTCAACTTGTGATTTTTTTTTTTTTTTTACATAATTTTGGTCATCAGTATTTACTGTAACATAGGACATCCAGGTGGAGACCTCCAGAAACTTAGTGATTGAATATGTGGGTCTGAGACTTAAAAGAGATCTTGAATAGCAATATAAATTTGGGAAACATCAGCTTGTGGTAGACATAGCATGTGGTCAAACCATGAGAATGGGCAAGACTGCCTTAGGCAGTACACCCACTCCTCACTTATCAACATGGTTAGGTTCCAAAGACCATGTCATTATGCTAAAATCAGCACTATGCAAAAATGGAGGATCACAAAATGGAGGATGACCACATCAGATCACAAAATGGAGGATGACTGCATCATTATATAACTGCCAAATTACATCATCACATAACTGACGAACCACTGAGAATCATGGCCCAGCCAAATTGACCCATCACAGCCAGTGTTATTCTTGCCTCACACTTCCTGTTCATTACAGTCAGATGTATGTCACTAATGCACAAAATAGTTGAAATAGTTGGATAGTAGATTTTTTACTATTGTTGTAAATGCGAAATGTTGGATAATGAGACAGCTTATAAGTGAGGAGTAGGTGTGGTTTCAAAATCTGCCTGATCATCATAACATACAGAGTCCTAGGCCCCATTCCACAGATTCTAATTTAGTAGATCTATGGTAGTGCCCAAGAATCTATAATTATTTGAAAAACTTCCACTGAATGATTTCTAAGATTGAATATTAAGGGAAGAACCCACAGGACAGTACTCACTGTATGGTCCTATTTATGTAAGAAAGTTTTATATCTATCTGTACATGGCTATGCTTCCAGGGATGAGGGCAGGGTCATTAATTGAAAAAGTGGTAAAGATTTTGAAAAGTCATTGTGGGGGACAGGGGAGGATGCTGATGAGAAATGTGCACAAAATGAGGGGTCATTGAAAGTTGGACATCAACACACATGATTGGGACACTTTCTCCTTCTTGCTCAGAAACCTGAGTATAGACATGGAGATGATTAAAGGCTGGGTTAATAAAGTTGAGTGAAGTGAATAACAGGGGCAGAACACTGAGGGCTACTGGCAAGAAAGTGGCTGAAGTGATGTCCTTTGAGGTGCAGGTTAAAAAGGAGGACATGGACTGAGAGAAAAGGATGAGGTGGCAGTAAGGGACTCAAGATTTTGAGGTCAAAAGCAGCTATATTGAGAATAGATAAGGTAGCAGAAAATGGAAAGGCTAGGGCTATGGTCAGAGAGTGACGGATTTTGTTTAAGATTTCAGAGATAGCAGTGGTGAAGTTACCTCCGAGGTTCACTGTTCAGCCTGGGAGTGGACAGCCCCGTAAAACCAAATGAGACTAATGAGGTACAGGAGTCCAGTGACAAGGGCCAGAAGGCAGAAGGGGACAAGGGAGCTGGTGATAGGGAACCCAAGATTGAGTAAGGATATTGTTGATGTGTTGTGAGATTGTTAACCATTGTCATAGGGCAACATTTGTAGTAACTGTTAAATGAGAAACTATTTTGTTCTGTAAGCTTTATCTTAAGTAAGAATAACAGCACAATTGGAAGAGCGTAGTCAATGTCACTGAACTGTGCATGTAGAAATTTTTGAAATGGTGTATCTTTGGCTATGTGTATTTTCACCAAAAAAAAAAAAGGGTTGAGAAGTTAGAGGGTTAATATGTTGTGGGGTTGTTAACCAATGTCATAAAACAACATGTGTACTACTGTTTCATGAGAAACTATTTGTTCTGTAAGCCTTCACCTGAAGTACAATAAAATATAAAAAAAAAAAGATTTCAGAGATAGAACAATCAAAATTAAAAAAAAAAAAAAAAAGATTTCAGAGATAGAACAATTCTTGGTGATGCCAACAAAGGCCACGGTGATGAAATCATGAAGTGGAGTCTGGGTGAAGATTACTGAAGGGGAAGAGTTGGTGCACTTTGAGGCACCTACCTTCTCCAGGATCAAAGGTATTGGGGGTGGGGTGACACGCCTGGCCATCACAAACTGCAGGGGTCACTTTCTTGTCCACCCACAGTAGTCTCAAAGGACCATCCTACCATGTCTCAGGGACATGGTCTTTAACTCACCAGAAGACCTTAAGTGTCATTTGAGTGTCCAGACACAATTTCCACCATTCGCTTCCATTTCCACATTATTTGCAAAAACATTAGATAAGACTAAATATTGAGACATGAAAAACTTCACAATATACTTTTCCCCCCCAGAGAAATGTTCCTTTAGATTAATTTTGATTCCTGTCATTAAGCCACTCTGAAAACTAATCCATGACAAAATCACCCCTCATTCTACAGCAACTCAATGTTTTCATTAGTGTTGGTAGAGAACCTTGTCAGCGGGATTTTGAAAAGTGAAAATGGTTTACATTTAGACATGCTTCTGTATGTGGTTTCTCTGTGCTTACCTTCTGCTGTGCGCTGTGCTAAACGCTTTAGATTCAACAAGTAAGTTAACCTTCCCGCTAAACCCATAGGCTGATACTACAGTTATACACATTGTATAGATGATGAAACTCAGAAAATTAAATAACTAGTTTAAGGTCACACAATTAATAAACAGTAAAACCAAGATTTGAATTCAAACCAGTCTGATTTTTTTTTTTCACCAGTACCTTCAGGTTAGTAAAAAAATGTCATGGTAGATGTGATGATGTGCCACCCAATGCTATTTAATGAAGAACTTGCTGTCCCAGCTGCTGGGAGCACTGTCCCCTGACAACCTCAGCTCTCAGGTCCAGGGATTGCCTGAACTGCAGAGAACCTCCTTACCCAGGTCCATACCCTTCTGGGCAGCCAATTCCAATGACTCATCAATGCCAGAGTTTAAAGGCCGTCTCTGCCCAACTTGGGACTACTCTGAAGGCACACCCTAGCTCCGGAGCTCACTGTAGGATCTGCTGAGGCTGCCCTTGGGCCTTCATCACAGCTCAACTTCTCCCTCTGCCCAGTCCTGCACCCTTCCCTCCCTTCCACAGGTGCTGATCTCAAGGACACTCCTTCGTAAACATGCTATACACCAAAACTGCATCTCAGAATCTGTTTCTAGGGAACCCAAGCTGACAGCCGCTCAAAGAAGTAAGAGTCAGTATTCCAGTTACAGAAATCATATTATTTCTCACCTTTCCCAGAGACCTCCTTAAGAGTTTCAGAGAAGTACCAGGCCCAGACGAAGCCGGGTCCCCCTTTGTCCTGGTCTCTAGGACCAGGTCCAGCTATTTGGATTTCAAGTACATAAGACTCAAGAAAGAGGGTTTAATAGAGAGGATGAGTTGTGTAAAATGGCCCTGGATTTGGAATAGAGATGTCCTGCTGCTTCTGCTTTGCCAGTTGTTTCTCCTTCCATCCCTAGCACCTTCCTGAGCTAAAAGGCTGGGACTTGGAGGCCCTAATCTTGACTCTTAGCCTTAAACAAACTGCAGACAAGGTGGCTGTTTGAAAATTTCAGGCTCCCATCTGATACACCATCACACCATAACCTTAGTGACTGAAAAGTGAAAATATGACCTAAGGCAAAGGAAACAAATTTGAACGCTTTTATTTCAGGTTCTTTTTTTCCCATATATTTCATCAGTTACAATAAACAGTCAAAATATATCAGGAAAAAAAAAATCAAGCCATTCATCAGAACAATTTTTGTTTTCTCAATGCGATTATTACAGGCAAACTAACACAAACAAGAAAAATCAATACCTGTGTATTCCAAATTCTGCACGTTTCCTCCTTTCTCATTTTAATTATTCTTTTAAACCTATATAATCACTATATAAAGTAACTGTGTGATTCAAGACATATTTCTTTATAATGGTTTGAAAATTTGTGGTACTTGCATTTCCATTAGAGCTCTATAAATTTCATCTGTGCTAACCACTTAATTAGAAAAAAATACGTCGAGTAATACTACAATGAAAATTTCAAAAGATTTAGTAGAAAGAATAACAAAAGTTTATATATTAAGAATAGAATATATTTCATTTAATTGCAATGTATGTTTTCTTTTAATCCAGCTAACATACTTTTCAGTCAGCAGCAAATTGAAACCGTGTATTATTAATGATCACTCAGATCACTCTAAGTATATAATCTGTATTACATTAAAAAACCTTATTTTGTAGCATTTTGTCGACTGAAGTACTTCATAAAGTTTTCAGTTATTGATTTTCAAATCTTCTTTGTAGATATAAGCCTCTCAGGAGGCTAAGTATAATCACATTTCCTACCAAGTTGGTCTTTATCTTTGCTAACCCCCCGTGGATACTATACCAGCCTGTCAATAAGCATTTATTGAGAACCTGCTGTGGGCTGAGGCCTATTCAGGTTCTGGAAGCAAACACTGTAGAACAAAAGATTAAGTTTTCCTGGAGAAGCTAACAATCAAGTTGGTGGTTTTCATGAATATAAACCAGCATAGGTTTGCTTAATTTCCTTACTTGTTTCTCAACATCAGTGATAAAAATGTTTTGTTTTTTTTCTCCCCAGGGGTAGCACTGGCTTTGAAACTCCCCTAAACTGCTAAAAGAAGAAGAAAAAAGCTCCCATCAACTAATTAAAAAAAAAAAAAAAGTAACAAAGTTTATGTAGAACCCAGCAGAATAGTCCCCAGAGATTTGAATATCCATAGGTCAGACGTACAACATAAAGTACTGGAGCCTGTTTCTTAATTGTTTGTACATAAAGTTAAAATGCGTTTTAATCTTTCATCTTTAAGAGTAAAATGTCAGGACATTTTTGTGATTTCCTCTAACTAGTAAGACAGGAGGGAGGTTCTTCGTGAGGATTTCCAACCAAGCCATGTACAACAAATCCGATATAGATCCTTTTCTTGCCACTGGAAGGCTCCTGACAACATTGGAGAAAAACAACAAAATGGAAAATTACTACAGCAATAACATCACTAGCACTTCTGAGCTATTTAATAGTCAGTGGCCTGAAACTTTATTACCTCACGCCCTAGCAAAAAATGAAAGCACTGAAATTATCCTGAGTATAGATATTGGAGCCCTGGTGGAGAAGTGGTTAAGAGCTCAGGCTGCTAACCAAAAGTCAGCAGTTTGAATCCACCAGTCACTCTTTGGAAACCCTATGGGCAGTTCTCTGTCCTATACGGTCACTATGAGTTGTAATTGACTCGATGGCACACAACAACAATAGGTATTAAGCTGATATATTTCTCAGATAATATAAATATAATATAGAAAAATAGGCTTAGGTATTGTAGAAGACAGACAAAATAAAATTAAAAATTTTAACTCTTCTTTAAATAGAGAATTTGATCAACTAATCTTCCCCCACCCCCTGCTTTTTTTGTGGAAATCACTTTTCCAAATAGTTAAAAGGTTATGAAACCTCAGAAACCAGCTATTTGAACACTACCACCCAATTCAGGACACCATTCTACAACATCTTTGGACAGTCCCCCAGACTTGACCTTGCTTGAAAACATATAGGAGTGAGTTCATGAGATATAAATGTGAAAGCTGAAGATTTTCAAGTTTAGCTGCCGCCCTTCAAGTCAATGTACATTGATGTTTTCAGCAGGCGCGCCCCTAACATTGTCGGGGCCAGAGGGCAAAGAGTGAAAATGGAAAAACCCACTGCGCTTTTCTCCTACCCTGGCCCATTCCTGGCCTCCTAAGGGAACTCATAGCCACCGCAGCCTCAAGAGGCCCTCCCCAGGGACGAGGCCACGAGTCTAGTGGCAGACTTGGGGCTGGTCAAGTGGAGAATTCCAGGGTCCCAGGTACCCGGAGCATAGTCTAGAAGAGGAGCACAGGTTCTAGGTGGCATATCCCCCTGACCCTGTGGGTGGGGAATGACTAATGGAAGGTCCAAGCGAGGCCTCTAATTGTCCATGGGCCCCAGCTGCCAAGGTCTCCAGGTGGCATTTATTTCCTCCACTTTCTAAAACCCCACATGCTCAAAATCTTTTTAACTTTCCATCTGAAGAGTTATAAGCTTTTCAGTTAATTAACCCATTTATCTTAAGACTCCCCTCTAACATTCTTAAATGTCTGCAATGATACTTACAGGACAACGAGGTTAGCAGCTCTTGAGTGCTCCTGTAAGAGTTCATTCAGTCGAACTTGGCGGTAACTCTGTGGACAGCATTCAGATTTTGTTAGAGACAGTTCTAGCAGAATGTGTGGATGAAAATTTATCTTCTGCCCTCAAATTACAGATGAACAGAAAACCTCATTTAAAAAAAAAATTACAATTATTTCATCAGGTTTGGAAACTTACAGTGTTTCAAAAACTAATGAGAAATCTTAGAAATGTAAAGAACAGTATCAGCTTGTCATTGCACTATACCAAAACCCGCTGCCGTCGAGTTGATTCCAACTCATAGCAACCCTGTAGGACAGAGTAGAACTGCCCCTAGGGTTTCCAAGGCTGCCATCTTGGTGGAGGCAGACTGCCACATCTTTCTCCCACAGAGTGACCAGTGGGTTCAAACTGCTGACTTTTCAGTTAGCAGATGAGCACTTTAACCACTGCACCACCAGGTACTATAGTGCTATAAAACCTCACACACACACACACACACACACACACACACACACACACACACAAACCCATTGCTGTCATGTTGATTCTGACTCATAGCGACCCTAAAGGACAGAGTAGAACTGCCCCATAGGGTTGCCAAGGAGCAGCTGGTGGATTCGAACTGGTGACCTTTTGTTAGTAGCTGTAGCTCTTAACCACTATGCCACTAGGGTTTCCATAGTGCTATAGTGTCTTATTGAATTTTAGGGGAAAAGAACCAGCAAGCAACATGGATAAGAGTAAAAAGAAGATTGGAATGGCCAGTTTTGGTATCCTTAACAGTGGAAACCTTGGTGGTGTAGTTGTTAAGTGACCAAAAGGTCAGCAGTTTGAATCCACCAGGCACTCTTTGGAAACTCTATGGGGCAGTTCTACTCAGTCCTATAGGGTCTCTATGAGTCAGAATTGACTTGATGGCAATGGGTGAGAATATAGATTTTTATACTCTTAACCTACCTTTCTTTAAGTTCTCTGAGTACTTTTTCAGCACAGGGGACTGGTTTCAACTAAGAGGCCACCTGAAGACTCACTTCGAAAAGTAACTACATTAACTTCTTTGCAGTGAGGAGAGAAATATTTATTATTATATTTCACTGGTTCAGAAACCAAGACTCAGAAAAATTGAGTGACTTGCTCAGTCATGTGAAAAGTCTTCATTAGAATTGGGTGGTTTGTTACAGACAGAATTAATGATTTCCAGTTCAGTAAAATTTCCACTAAATCTGAAAGACTTTTAGCATGTCTTGTTCTAATTTGTTCCAAGTTCAACTCCTAAGGTAGTTTATCTAGATTTTGCAGTTTAGAGACTCTCTTCTTTGAATGTCCAATTCAGATGTCAATTCTTCTAACTCTTGAGTCCTTGCTCTTTTCACAATTCTGTCACCAACTTCATCGAGCGTGGGCCAGACAAGGGGAACTTCCACCTTACTGGGCTCTGTAGAAAAAACTTACCATTTCATATCCACCCTACAATATGTGCCCGATCCATCTTTCACGCTCATCGATCCAACCACATCATATGTTTTCTCAGATCCTTTTGTTAGTTTTTCATATCCATCTTCATCAGGGTAAAATTCTTTGTTATTGTCCTAAATTGTGAGTCAGTCTATCTTTATCTATCTACTTTGCACACATATTGACTTAAATTATTTTAGACTGCTAGGTCTGTTTCCCATTCTTTAAAATTAAATTTGAAAGGTGATGTCATAATATGTACCTAAAACCTAGTTTTTAACTTAAAAAAAATTGACTTTACATAAAAAAGGAAAACAGTTTTCTGAATCCATATTTCTATATCCAGTAATATGATTGGAAAGCATGTGAGAAACGCAGAAACCCTGGATCCCGAATAATGAAATTCTATAATAGATTCACTACTTCTTGGTCTTTAAATCAACCACTGTTTCCTTTTTCAGCTAGTTAGATAGCAAAGCAAAAATTAAGGCAGACAAGCCTTTACCTTTTCCTTGGCTGCTTCCAGCACTGCGTCTGTAATTTTCCACGGAGTTTCTCTTTTCAATTTCTCAGCAGTTGTTAAATCCTTGCAGCTTTCGTGGAGACGATACGGTTCAATCATCTCTTCAAAGACTTTCCAGCTGAAATTGGAATTATAACGGAGGCATCACAGTGGGAAACTAACTCATTATTTCACAGATACTCCAGGTATGCCTGGTTCTACTGGCTGGGGAATCAGAGCTAAATGTGATGTAAATCTGTTAAGAATTATCTTTGCAGAGAACTTACTGTGAGTACATTCAAGGCTATAGCCCAGCCTCCCTACCCAAGGACAGGCCTTAATGTGTTTGAGGTCTTGTAAGCCTACTCGGTATTAGATCCTGAATTTAAACACACAAACACAGAGATAGTAATTATTCTGCAAAGGTATTTTCTACATAGCGTAGTAAAAGACAGTTGAAACGTAGATACTAGAGACCATAAGTGAGTTTTCATCAGCTTATTGTACAGAACCTATGGGAGACATTCATGAATTAATGTAGGAGATGAACTAGGTTCTTCAAGAGCTGAATAGGGCTGCCCTCACCTTTAGTCCACGTGACAACCCCCACTCACGGCAGGAAGCTGTGAAGGAGAACAGCAAGGGCCCCCCGCCATTTTAGTGGTTACAGAACAATTTGAATGTTTGCTAATAATGCTGCCTCTGTCCTTCTGGTGTCTGATATCTCCTGAGATTTTCAAACAGCTATTGTTCAGGTGCATTTTAGGGGAAAGACCAAAAATCAATAATATTTTAATGACTAAAAATCTGAGGCAATTTTAGAACAGCTAAAAAGAAATTGTTGAGTAGATGATATAACTAAGAGCAGTATTTAAGAGCTGTAGAACATTTTAAAAATTGCTGGAAAAACTCCTTCTCATCTTTCATAAGAATCTCAGATTTATTTTTAAAACGATAACACAAAGCAGAGCTTGGAATGAATGGCAATAGTTGTCTTCAGTATGCCACTTTAAGACAATCTCAAGTTTGAACAATGTTCTTTGGTTTCATATAATGTAACTTATAATTTAGTAACATAGAAATAAGCAATAATTAGAATCTGTGTGCTGTTCAGTTAAGAAATTAAAATGTGAAGCAACGAGTTCAATTACCTCATCAGTTGGTCTGATTTAGGATTCGCAGATAAAAGTGCAGATTACGAAGGTGCAGGATGGTACCTACCAGTGTGCCTTTGTTAAGGAACTGAAGAGATATGTAATGTAGTAGATTTCTAATGCACTGACTTATTTAGAAGTGTAGAGAAAGGCAGGGAAGGAATAAGACCGAGAAGCCCTATTATCCTTTGATTTGCCAATCTGTCGAAGACTGTCATGCCTTCTGAGGCCTTTGATGGCAGTCAGTGCAAAGGAAGGGATGAGACCTTGGAGAGAAGAGCCTGGCTCTTGCTCCAGATCCTTCACTGACCCTGTCAGCCTAGATAACCTTGCCTATAGAAGGAGGTAAATATGGCTGCTCGGAACTGGCAGGAGAATTAGCGTGCCAGTTTGGGTCAGTGTTCTGAAAAGTATGCAGTGCTCTGTAAAAGCAAGCGTTCACTTTCTTAACAACCGCAAGGACTGGGGTTAAGAATCAAGAGGTTCTCTGTTGAAGCTACGTATACTTATTTTGATCAGGATGAGTTTTCTTCACATCTCAGCCTGTGTCCTTGTTAGAAAGCACAGTACAAAACTGGTTTCCTGAGGAATAGAAGGTGGAACGGAGGTTGGTGGTTGTCTCTCTGGTGTCCATACTATGCTTCCCCCATCGTAGTTTGGGTGAGACTGACCCCACTCCAACATTAGCCAGTCTGCCCAATCCCATCCCCTCTGCCAGAGTGATTGGTCAGGATGGGCACATAATCCAGGTAGCAGGGATGGACTACCCAATAAGCAAGGTAAGCATGTGCTTAGGGCATCAACAGAACAGTTGTCCAAAGCAAAGACCCATAGATGCCAAGCAGACAGGACACAAGAAAAAGCGAGCAGTGGGTGAGAATGTGCTGGCTGGGAATGAAGTTCACATAGGGTCATGAGGGTGCCCATGTGCAAGGTTGTTTAAGCTAGGAGGCCCCTGCCACTTCAACACCTTGGTTGACATCTGTCTCCCACAGTTTGAATAAGTGAGTAAGCAGAGGAGAAGGCACTACAGATAATCAATGTTTAGGGCCCTCATGTGCCTTACTCCAGCCCTGCCAAGTGGGTTGAAACCAATAGGCACCCAGCATTGCACTGGTCACAGTTAATGGCTCAGTGGCTTAGGCTGGTGCAACTTGAATGAAGCCCAGGACCTGAGTTCAGAGATGAGGAAGAGACACACTTTCTCTCCCACTGAATATAAATGATCAAGTATATAGTCGTGGTTGCTATTGGCAGTCATCTTGTTTCCATAAGACAAATCATCCTTCGATGATGCTTTCACAATGGAAGACAGAGTAGAAAGACCAAAAAAGAATTTGTCCTTGATTACAAAATTAAGCTTCTAGATCAAGCTTTGCTTGAAGGTCAAACTACACTTGGATTTTTTGGTATGTTTGTCAATGATTTCCACTATGTAAGTCACTGTTGACCAGGGCATGATGGTTAAGTGCTTGGCTGCTAACTGAAAGGTCAGTGGTTCAAACACACGAGTGGCTCCATGGGAGAAAAGACTTGGCGATCTGCTCCCGTAAAGGTTACAGTCTAGGAAACCCTATGGGGCAGTTCTAATCTGTCTTATAGGGTTGCTATGAATTGGAATTGACTCGATGGCACACAACAAGTCACTATGAGTCAGATTTTCTTTTACTTGCAATTGAAACATTCTAAGTGACACAGCCGGTTATAATGAGGCTGTACTTGCCCATTTATTTCCTCTTTGTTCTTCCTGCTCATTGCCCGTGTTCATCTTTGATTTCTTCACCCTAAGACTTGTCCCTGACCTGGCCATTCTCCTAGCTAAGTGACCCAAAGTTGACTCAAAATTTCTATTTCAATTCTCTTTAAATCTGATTTTTCTAATAAGTTATTTTTAATTGACTCTAGAGTAAGCCAAGTATTACCTGTTAGTAAATATAAGTGAGAATTAATTCAGTTTTTATAATTAACTAATATCTGCCTGCTTTTCTCACCCTTGTTCCTCATAAAAACAAAGTTTAAAAACTTTTTAATTGCATACTTTTTTTTCATAAGTTCACTTAAGAGTTCTTCTCTCAAAGCAATGCAGAAGTTGTTTTCGTGACTTACTCTATCATCTTTAAACTAAAGTATCTAGTTAATTGCTTCTCGTTTCTCTTTGATTCCCATATTTTTTGTCTTTTTTGGCCTATGACTTTTAATTCAGTCTATACAATAAAAAATGAAATTTAACCACAAGAGTATTTCAGTTCCTCCTGACTCAGTTATTTTCTTATTAACTCTGCTTTTGTATTCCTTTTCACCCTTGCCCTACCATATTTACAGATAACATTTCTGTGAAAAAATGTCTCCATGAAAGCTTACTGACGTTTTATGGGTAGTTTAGAGACTTATTAAAGGCAATTTGAGGGCATTTAACATTGGCCTCAAACATGGAAATCATCGACAAACTATTTTCAGCATTGTGTAGCACCTTGATTGAGTGACCAAGAAACAGGAGTGATCAGGGACAGTTATTAATGGCAGATAAGGGCTGCTCAGCCAAGAAGGCCTGTGTGGAGGCTGAAACAGAGCCAGTGCTCCACTCTCTAAGCCTTGTGCTGGTACCTGGGCCCAGGGCTGTGTCAGCCTGGCGGAAGAGTTCTTTCTCTAATGGGACTGCCCAGAGGAGTGGCCTTTTTCTAACTGTCACAAAGTGCAAGATGTGCCACAAGTGGCTATCTGTGATATTTACTGAACAGACCATTCCTTGTTGGTTCTAAAATAAAGCTACCTTCATGTATTGGAACAGCCATTGCCAACATCAGATGTGTGACTGTCTTATAAAGTAATAGGTCATCAGTAATAATAATAGTAATAGCAGAAGTAATGAAACAATCATCAGGAATAGCAGAAGGCTGAAGAAAGGAGAATGGCACTTTCAGCACACCACTCCTTGGTGGCCCCACATCTTCACACTAGCTGCAAGGATTCTTTAATTCCATTAAGAGCAGATCATTATTATTATTATTTTGCATCTTCTTTGAGATATTGAAATACCAGAAACTGTGATACCTAATCTCCAAAATTGTGGTAGCTAATCGATTGTTTTCCTTAGGAAGGAAAGTAGATCTCTTCATCACAGGATGATGAGAACATGTGGGAAACACCAAATTAAAATGGCATGTAAAAAGAAAACTTAGATACCAGGACAAAAGCAAGAATTCCCAGGTCCTTTGTTTCTTACTACTGTCTCCACAGAGTTTTGCTCCCTGAGAAGAGAAAACAAGGGCACAAGGGTCAGGGTAGATGAAGAGGTCCAGGCCATGATGGGCACTGAAAGAATGAAGAGGTATGGTTAGTGGAGGAGGTCCACCAGCATCCTCAGGTGTGGGAGACAGAGGATGGACATGCAGTGACAGTGACCGTGGTAGCTGAGCAGAGATTGGTATGAAAAAAGGGAAGGAAACAGGGCTTGGTAGAGAAACCAGACTGATATATGAAGAGCAAAGGAATACAGGAACAAGTAAACCAGAAAGCACAGACAGTTCGTAGCTACTGATAAGGCAAACGGCAGCAAGAAGAATTTGGTTACAAGAAGTAGGTGACTAAATTTATGACCAGCATTGAGCCAGGCTTGCAGAAAATCCAAAGTCAGTAGAGGGCACAGTGACTAACGTCTAGACAACAGAAAATGGCCCTGCACTTATGGAGCACTGGTGGCGCAGTGGTTAAGCACTCAGCTGCTAACCAAAAGGTTGGCGGTTCGAACCCACCAGCCCTGGGAGAAAGATATGGCAGTCTGCTTCTGTAAAGTTTTACGGCTTTGGAAACCCTACGGGAAAGTTCAACTCTGTCCTAGAGGGTTGTTATGAGTCAGAATCGACTTGACAGCTACGGGGTTTGGTTTGGTTTGGTGGCATAGTGGTTAAGAGCTCAGCTGCTAACCAAAAGGTCAGCAGTTCAAACGCACCGACTGCTCCAGGGAAGAAGGATGTGGCAGTCTGCTTCTGTAAAGATGGCGGCCTTGGAAACCCCATGGGGCAGTTCTACTCTGTCCTATAGAGTGGCTATGAGTCGGAATCGACTAGACAGCGATGGGTAATGAGTAGGCTCTACACTTGCTAAGCACTGGCAATCTCCACCTTGTTGCTAAGTGGAACATGCCAGGGAATCATTAGACCTGCTGTGTTATGAAAGACAACTGCATTTTCACCAATTACAGCCATAAGATGAGCCCCTTTGATCATATCACTGCAAATGCCAAGAGGCAATGACTTAGGAAATTAAATTTTTTAAATGAAAAGTGGACAACTACCTGAGATTATTGCACGACAACCCAGTTCATGTCAGAATGTTAATTCCATTTACCAAAGAGAATTATAAGGATGTTCTTAGTATGTCCTAAGTCTTTGTAATTGTAGAAATATAGGAATGCAAGACATTAGAGGCACATATGGTGTAAGGAAATATTACAAAATTATAACTCAGGTCAACCCTCTGGAGTACAGCTTTCTTACCACAGTTAAGAGGTTTTGCAAAGCCATTTTAAGAGACCCACAGCCTTGGAAGAATCATGAATACCTTCCAAGAACACAAATTTCAAGTTTGCTGTACCATCAATGAGAATGCATTTTAAATCGGAATAACTTTCAGTTAGCTATTAAGCACTGTCATGCATTGAATTATGTCCCCCCAAAAATGTGTGTATCAATTTGGCTAGGCCATGATTCCCAGTATTCTGTGGTTATCCTCCATTTTGTGATTACAATTTTACGTTAAAGAGGATTAGGGTGGGATTGTAACACCACTCTTACCCTGACCATATCCCTGATCCAATGTAAAGGGAGTTTCCCTGGGGTGTGGTCTGCACCACCTTTTATCTCTCAAGAGATAAAAGGAAAGGGAAGCAAGCAGAGAGTTGGGGACCTCATACCACCAAGAAAGCAGTGCCAGGAGCAGAGTGTGTCCTTTGCACCCGAGGTTCCTGCTCAGAGAAACCCCTAGTCCGGGGGAAGATTGATGACAATGAGGACCTTGCTCTGGAGCCGACCGAGAGAGAAAGGCTTCCCCTTGAGGTGATACCCTGAATTTGGACTTCTAGCCTACTAGACTGTGAGAAAATAAATTTCTCTTTGTGAAAGCCATCCATTTGTAGTATTTCTGTTATAGCGGCACCAGATGACTAAGACAAGCACATATAGGATAACAATAAATTGAAAGAAGGGAAGAGGCAAGAAGATTGGAGAAGTATAAGTGTAAGAATTGCCAGAAGAAGGAGAAATGGTGGCCAACAGAAATGGGAAAAGGCCTGAGAGGCAGTGAGGACATGGGATATTCTGAGACCTCTTCACGTCCCCTTACCCTTGGAAGCCCCACTCCATACCAAATCAAATGCACTGAATTGCATCCAGATGCAACAGTAAATATGATTTTGGACTCTAAACAATTGAAAACACTTTATAATTGTGTTTCTGAAAAACTTTAACTCAAAGTAGTTCATTTAATTTATAATCAGCTATGATTTCCAGACAATTTTCTTGCACCCTTGGGAACACCAGTGAAAATCTAACCTACAAATTGTTTTCAAACATCATGGACTTCACAAATTTAGCAATTAATGGGGATTAAAATGATGTCTTGTTTTTAAGACATTTAAATAATGATTATTTAAATTTTGCAGTTTTCTTTTTTATTTTGGAGCCAATACATTTCCATGCCAACTTCAAAAGGTCTAAGAGGCCTCCCAAGAGTTCATTGGCACTCAGCCCTGAGTAGCACAAGTGCTTAAATGCTCAACTACTAAGATTGGCGGTTCAAACCCACCCAGAGGCATCTTGGAAGAAAAGCCTGGTGATCTGCTTCTGAAAGGTCACAGCTATGAAAACCCTATGGAGCGCAGTTCTACTCTGACATAGATGGGGTCGTCATGAGTCAGAATCAATTTGGCGCAATTAGTTCCTAAAAGCTAAAATGGCCCTGGAGGGTATGTACAGTACATTGTGCCAAGAAGACACAAGCTGTCTCCACATCTTCTCCAACAGAGCTCCCATCCGGGATGCCCTTTGAATAACAAAAGTTTGCACAGGGGTAGTCTGACCTTGTGATTCCCGCTACACTTGCCATCATAGAAACAAAGAGCATGAAGGGAAACGCTGAAATGCTCAGTACCCTGTGTTTGACAAGTTTCCCCTCTCAAGCTCATCTTCACTGTAAAATCTTTCTTCCCATCAGAATGCATTCCAAAGCTCCATGTTCTGATTATTTAAAGCCCCCTTTTCTTATATTCTATCAGGAAGTCATTGTAGTAAACACATCACATTTTTATTCTTTGATAATCAACACGAATGAGAATGAGGGTGCCATGGGTGAACAAAGGCTCTTATTAAATGTTTCATACCTCTCTTTGTTTGGCTTAATGTTGATGTCACCAATGATGTGGATTTCTGCAAATTTTATCCTAAATTTGCTCAGAAGAGAAGCCATTCTGAAAATGTAAGAAAGAAGCACTTCATCATTGTATATTTAACTATTTTCAAAGAGTTTTGGTGTTTGAATTAAGATATCAAAAGCAATCATGTCTTATTTTGACTTAGCTTTCAGACAAGCTAATTCACCTAAAAGGCTTTGGTTAGTGTTTTATTTTCATTATAGTACTTGATGGATACATTAAATGTGGACCAAGCTACTCCAAGGAAGACAAAATGAAACTCATGTAGGTGCAGACACTGGAAATAGCAAATCAGCTACACATTCATGTTTTGAGGAGAATCATTCATAGGAGTGATAAGCTGCTTACGAAATTTTTTCTTCTTCAATGCGGTTGATCTTCCCTCCAACATAGATTCTTAATTTACAGTCTTTCCATTTTTTTCTGATGGTCAAAATATAGGGAATAAGGAGCGTCAACCCTGGAATACAAAGTGAATTATGACAGAAAGGATAAGTATATCCAACTGAAAGGATATAAATAGGCTTACATCTTTATTTATGCTCACATTCATAGTTCCTAAGTAATTTAAAATCTTTGGAGAACATAGACATGTTATTCTTTAACTAGTATAATTTTCAGATACCTTCCTATGCAGTTTGTTAAATTTCTCAACATAGAAATCTGCTCCCTAGTGTACGTTCTGGAATTTTTTTTTACCTCCATCATCAAATAACCACCAAACATCAATTGTGCCTTTTCCTTGTTTCTTTTTAAATTGGTTGCTGGCTTCTACCAGTTTCCGGTTGAACTCCCCGACATGCATCGACTGGATTGTGTTAATGCTGCTGTCTGAAATGAAAGAGAAAGTGATGCATCTATTTGTCTTTCGACGACAGAAACAAAACAACTTTTCAATAAATGTATTGATGACAATAGAGGAAGAGTCATGGACAAATTATGATCTCTATTCTCTGAAAAGGAGAGATAAAGCTTGAATCCCACAATAACTTGGAACACCTTCGATAGTTTAATAAACATTTGAGACTGGTTTTATGATCACAGTTTTCATTATAAAGCAGTAGATTATTTTCAGAAATTTAGTAATCTGTTCCAAGGTGGAATTATTATTCAGGCATGTAACAATGCCAAATTATCTGATACTATCCCAATTTTTCCAAATTTCATATATAAATTAACTTAGTAATAATTTCAGAGTTACTTGAAAGTAGAGCATGTGGTGATTGTTTCTCTAGAGGTAAGCAATAGAATCGGAAGTATTCCTTCATTAAAGAATTCACTCATTTGGGCACAATTTTGGAGTGAATCCCATGAACTTCTGGATTATAAGGGTTGGCAAGGACCAGGAGTATCTTGGCTGTCCATGACCTTTTGGTCCCGTGGTTGGCCTGCCTTCCTCCTCTCTTTTCTTTTCAAGGAATCTTGTGAAGCTAAGGTAAAGCCACTTGACCTCTTTGAATCTCTGCAGATGAGACGGCAAAAGACAGGAAATATGGAAAAACAAAATACCTCTTACTGAGTTGTAATTAAGGGTGCATATAAAATACTTAAAAAAAAATTTTTTTTAAAGCAATTCCACCCTAACATAAACATAATGAAAGTGTGCCAGGGAACTAAGATAATGTTTGAGCAAGCTTCTTGTTCCTATTTGCCAGTAGGTGTTTCTTTGACACTCTATATACATTATTTCTCATTTCCGTGTCTTTGAAAGTGGTGACTTCATTGCTCATTTCAAAGAGACGGTTCAGTGTAGAGCTTACGGCAGAGCTAATAGCTTCTTCAGAGCTTCCTCTCTGATCTAAGGGGTTCTAAAGACGCTTTGTTCTGTATTCGCTGTTTCCATGCTTTGTGTCTGTCAGTTCTGAAGCAATTATCTCATATTGTTTCTATATCCCTAGGCCTGCTGAGGGAGAAAGCAAATTTATTTACAAAATAGACCGGACTCTGCCCTCACTTACATGCAAATCAAAGTCCGCAGAGGACTTTGTATGAGTGCTTGGAAGCAGACTTGGTCCTGATGGAGAACTCAGAAGAGTTGTCAACCAGCTAAAATGCAGAGCAGTGAGTAATCCTACTTTAGAGCTGTGCTTGAAACTGCAGGCGCAGAAAATTGCTTTTCTGAACATGTTGACTTTCAGAGGAGGGCATATTTGCCAAAGCAAGTATTGTGATGCAGAAACAGGCTTCTAGAATAAGTAACAAGGCCTGCTTTCTTAAAAAACGACTTGTATGCTCTCCCCTGTCAGGTAGAGAACAGTATTGGGCTATGATTTCTGAGCTTCCCATAGCCTTTTCAAATTGTACCATTGAATAGAGCAGATGCAACGGATAGTTAACTTTTCTCAGGAACAAAACAAATACTTGGAAAGAGAAGAAGATAGTATTTAGCATCCAGAACAGTCTTATTTTTCATTTGCACAGCGTGATCATCGTAATGTACCTCCAACATTAGATTCAAACACATCATTTCCTAGAAAATGTCATTTTCAGATGAGCAGTAAGTAGCAGTCTCTCCCACAACCCACAGGACATTCCGGGTACCTGAAAGTACCTCTAGTATATGAAGTGGGGCGGTGTCAGAATACCCCACAATTTTCTGTAAATATGTATATAAAATATTACATTACAGGTGAGATTTCCTCCTGGGGCTACAGTCGGGAGGAATAAGCAAAGAGACCCAAGCCTTTTACAGGGTAGGAGATAGCCTTTTCGAAGTGCTGAGCGTTTTACATGGCCTCTGTCAGCCTGGACCAGAGGCCTGATAAGTCTCACTTTGGGTCCTGACTTGGAGACCCTCACAGGGAAGTGATCTTTCCCCACCTCACACCAGTGTATGACTTCAGTAAGCCTGACACTTGTCTTGTGTATGAAAGAAACGCATGTTAGCATTCCCACTTTCTACCAGCAGAGGTCGCTGTGCACATCTCCCCCCCCCC